TATTAGTTCTGATTGTAGTGTGACAGATGAGGTGAATGCACGAATCTGCAAGGCTCGGGCCGCGTTTGCTAACTTGAGACACCTATGGCGTCAGAATGGTTTATCCCTGAATCTGAAGGGACGTGTGTATCAAGCTACAGTACGGGCTGTTTTGTTGTATGGCTGTGAGACTTGGCCTACCCGAGCAGCGGACCTGAGACGTCTTCAGGTGTTCGACAATCGTTGTCTCCGAACCATAGCTCGTGTGAGTTGGTGTCGGCGATCCCGTAACGAGGCAGTTAGAAAGCGCGTTTTTGGTTGTGTAACGGGTACTTCCATTGAAAAATGTGTCCAGCACCAGAAGCGCGTTGGTTGATGTGTTACGTATGCCGAACCATCGTTTGCTGAGGAGAATGCTGTTTTCCATGCCCAATTCGGAGTGGCGTAAGCAGAGAGGTGGCCAACCCTTGACTCGGCAGAGGAGTATGAAGGAGATCACGAGACGCTTGGGTGCTGTCGGTGCTACCCGCCTTCCAGGATGGGGACCGCGTGATCCTCACTGTGCCTGGTTGGAGACACTACAAGATATGGCTGCCAACCGATGTCAGTGGCGTTCTTGTTGTCAGTTTCTATCCAGGTTGTCTGGGTGAATGTGTGGAGGTGTAGGCACCTCGGAATGATTGTGTTAAGCTAGCGCGAAGTCCCTCCCCCATCCACCTTTATTCTTTTCTTTACAATAAGGCTTTCAAATAAGTCATGGTTGTACGGCAGTGAAGCATCGGTGTTGAACACTGATGTCATTCTGTCGATGATGGTGTGATGGTGATGATACTTCACTGCTTTAGTGAAGTGTTCTGCAGTGTCTGTGGAGTTCGAAGCAGTACACACAAATGATAAGGGTACATTGAAAAGATGAGGTTTGTCAATCAAATCAAGTTCAAGAGTGCTCAAATTATGGCAGTCACTGAGACAACAGGTTCCTGGGAAATAAACATTGTTGAGGGATACATTACAGGCTTACTTACCAGATGCATTTTGGGCCCGATGTTTCGTGAATGATACAAGCAGTCTTCCCATTATCTCCCCACTGGAATGTGGATCAACGTAATATTTGAAGCTGTGTCGAGCTGCAGACGGGGATGTTGTCCCGATGTTTCGTGAATGATACAAGCAGTCTTCCCATTATCTCCCCACCGGAATGTGGATCAACGTAATATTTGAAGCTGTGTCGAGCTGCAGACGGATTGGGATGTTGTTGCTGAAAACTAGGGGGTATTTTCTTCGGAACTCAAATTCAACCTGTAATCCTGCAAACACAGATCTGGACTGTGGACGTTTTCTGTTCGGCTGCATTTTGGCTGCTACTGATAAAACTGTTGGCACTTTTTTGGGTTTTGGGTACTGTGGCCCTTGCAGACATCCTGACACTGGCGCTTCTTGAATGAATAAAAACGTGCATATTGCCACTCACCAGAGGACCAACACGATGTTGGCGGATTTTTCTCATAGGTAACAACAGATCGCTTCAGTGTCATGAAACCACTAGAATTAGTAGGTCGTGACATCTGCGGTACCATTGCGGTATCGTGTTTAAGATTACGCGAACGTTGGCATTCGATGGTGAGTACTTTCATGTCCTTCTCGTTCTTAGACTTGGAAAGTAATAAATATCTGATAATAATAAATATCTGATTCATGTGGATAGTGCAGACCAGCAACGAAAACGAATCACTTGAACTGATCCTCTGTAAAGTCCTGAAATGGGAATTTTTCACACTCAAGGTTGACGTCACTGGTAAAAGCGACGTACTCGTCGGCGTCACTCTTGGCCAATTTGAGACAACTGTACCAAACATTTAAAAGTGAATGGTGCTCACCAACTTTTCACCGGATTGTTCTACTGTTTGTGAAAAGCTTAAATCATTTGGATTATTTGGGGAAATGAGGTTTTTCAACTGGTCATGCTCGAGGGTTCCAAGATGGGATCTCCATACATCGTCTTTGTCGTTAAATTCATTCTGTAAAGTATATACCCAATGGCTAAATGAATCGAATATGAGACCAGATGCTGGTTCATAGAGAAATTCGGCAACAGTTGATGCGGTGGAATCGGGAAAGAACAGTGAACTGACACTTTGAAATGGAACTGATATCTGGAAACTGATAATTAGAGTGAGGCTGAATAAGTCGCGATCGCGATTATGCGAACTGCGCTTGTTGCTATTGAAAGATTGCTTTCAAATCCTCAGCTGAAATCGACATGTTTGTGTTCCCGTTGGGTTTGAAAGGTGTTGAGAGGCACTGCCTCTTTGAATTTAATGAACCGTCATTTTGCTCTATTTTGTCAGGTGACGTAGAAGAAAACAACAAAAGCCAATCATTCGAGGGTCGGGTTAACTCAACCAGCTGCGAATTACCTTTTTCTTGGTCCCATTTTACGTTTGACTTGCTTGAAAGTTCCGAGGTTGCCTTAACAGTAGTCGTAGGCCTTTGCACAATTTTCTCTTCACAACTCTGTGCCAGTCATCCAACACCGTTGATGAACATTATCACGAGGGTTGCTCGCCGTTTTATGTTGAATCTCGACATTTTTGTTAACCACTTGATTTAAATGGCATCCCTCATGTCGTTCCGTGTTTATGCTGCTGAGCATACCCGCAATCACTTCAAATATAATTAGCCTATTATTAGCTACTGGCGCTTTTTCTTCTCACTGGGAAAATCTCGTTTGCCTTCGGGATTCCAAAACATGATCCTTGATTTGATCTTAATAGTTACTGGTCGATTTTTATTGTCGTAATCTTGTTCAGAATCACCAATCTGGCGTCGAACAAACGACACTGCGGTCTATGTCACGGTGTTTCGGTCAACAAGCAATACGAATTTAGGCGGTACCTTTGGACATTTGACATTATGGATTACTTACCGCCCTTCGTTCTTCATCTCGGCACTCTCTTGGTGAATTCGAATGTCGGGTGTTTGACCGTGTCTGATATACGAAGATTCGGGCTAAACTTCTCATATACGTGCTACTTTCAGCCCTGGCCAGTAAGACTGAATGGCTATTACACGGTCACTTTATGCAGTTACGTCTGACTGGTTTTCAAGGCTGATTGTGATCTCCGGAGTTCCTTAGTGCTCGCTGCGTCTTCGTTATATTTTTCCTTTGTCTGAGCGATCTATTATCATGTCTGTATTTTTCCAAGCTTTTACAGACGTGGCTACTTTGCACTGTCATGCTACTGCCATCCTCGTTTTCCATTGTGCATGAACCTTACACTTACCACTACTAACCTGAATAATGGGCCTGGCCACCATCTTTGACTGGGGGTAGACAAACCCAACAGCATTCAAGCTTCATATGCCCTGCATGTCCATCTCCCTTTGCCGTCCCACTTGTCGTATGAATCTCTTACTTAAATCAATCATTCCACACTCCCTTCCAACGACGTTTTTCTTCTCGCCTGCATAATCGCACCTACTGGCCCCAATATTCTTTTCGGCCTCCTGGAAAATACCTATTATGGTATATCGAAAGGCATGGTAACTCTAGACAGCCCCTTATGGAGGCAAACGGAAATTATTACAGTCGTACTTATAAGGCAGTGACAGAATGTTTCACAAGGCCGTGCTAGAATCTCCGTGAAGGGACGAGAAGCACCAAGTTAAAGGCTCTCGATCTGGATGGGCTGGCATTTTGACCGATCAAGGCATGCCTTCGTTTAGTCTGTATCCTGCACGTGACACATCCGTCCAAATGATGTTCGGCTATTTGTGACGGGTGGCCTCCGGACGGTTACTTCAAAGGCACTCTTGGAGCGAATTTAGAAGTCCGTACGGCGTGTGAAATGATATATGTTCTGTCACTTTGTTGGTCAGATTGTTATACATATGGTTCTCGGCAATGATCGTATCAGACGCTCTTTAAACTTTTTTATTCCGACATTTTTAATAATGGCTCAGTATGGTGCTGTCAGAGCGTGGTAGAATGTCGCATTTTCTTGATGTACCGAAGTCCTGAAACCCGTGTCATTTTGCTACGCTCCCCTTTACTACTGATGACTTTTAAAATTGGATCGTTGGGTCCACATAAATTGGCGAAGACAGTTTCTCGTGTCCAATATGCTGCCTTTGAGGGATTATTTTTTCCAAATATTGTAGATATTCCGTTTATGAAGCAGCTTTTTAGTAGTATTATACTGATGGGCGTATTCTTGACTCTCGCAAGTTACAATCCAAACCAATTTAAGTGGATCAATCAAATTTTGCCTGATGAATGTACACCAGAAGTTTACCATCCGGATGTTACACGGACCATTTGATTGACGACAGATGTTTGTCAACTGGAACGACCTCACTTGTGCGTACACTCTAATGGATAAATATTTTTCTCCTATTTCTCCCCGCACCTACAGTTTGTCAGTGAAAAAATTGGTGGTGTGGAAGGTACGAAATTGGACGATGAATACCTGGAAACGGAGAAGGTAAAGGGATCGCGTTTTTTATCCTGATTTCTGTTCAGAAAGTTGACGTCATATGCAAACTGATCGATGAGGTAGTTACACAAACACAAGAGTTCTTGCAGCCAAACCCAGCCCATCGAGCAAAAATGCTGACTATGAATACGCTCAATAAGTTGCAGGGAAAGGCAAAAAGCTCAGTGTATCCTCAGCCAGAAGGTCAGCTTGGTGACTGCATGCAAAAATATGGTCGTGATCTTGGTCCTGATTCATGTTATGGTGAGTTTTTCGCTCAATTTTTTCTGTATCTTTTGGGTTCACGGAATATGCGCACGCTTACAAAGATAAAAAAAGCGTTCAGCTGTAGCACCCTTCCGGTGCCTAGCTGCCATGCCACCCGAAGGGAGCACGATTACATCATGCTGTTATTGTTGGAATCGATACAGGATCGACGAATCTCTTCATGTTCAACGCTGATGGTATTCCTTAGAACACGGACTACCTCATTGTCAGATATAAGGAAAATTGAAAAAAAAATCGTCCAGCTGTAGCACCCTTTCGGTGCCTAGCTGTCATGCCACACGCAGGAGGCACGAGGGCTGGGATACTGCCAGGTTGACCAAGCCTAGACAGGGGAAGTCGAGTGGCAGAGGTCGGGTTCGAACGACGGACCTTCCGGTCAGTAAATTCGCGCTCTAACCACTTGGTTCATCTCGCCCCCCAGATATAAGGAGAATCTATCGATGTGTGCCAGTTCGCTATGCATGATGCTGGAGACTGCTGTTCGTGTATTCAATACTGAAGACTATCGAGTCTCTACTCCAAGCAGCTAGGCGAATCAATTAAGTATAAATATTCAATTGGTTTAGATTCCTTAGACTGACTACTTGGTTAGTTCCAACAGAATAAAACCGGTGGTGGGATGGTCGTAGTTTCACACTTGTCATCATGTCCCTGAGTGCTCGAAAGTCTCGACGTCTTTGCGCACTGATACAATTTACAAAAATTCGAGGTAGTCTGGTATCATTGGCTGGTGAAGGTTTTCTGTACCCCATCACTCGGCTTACTTATACCTATTTGGTCGTTACTGACAACATTTTTATAGCTTTACTAAGATTATTCAAAGTCAGTTTTTGTCTCAAGTCGGGGTGTTCGAAGGTTATTGAAAGTCAGGGACACGGAAGGAGCATTGAAACTGAAACAAGCTGCAATCGCGTTTCCGACTGTATCCGCGCTGGCTAGTCGCTAACTCAAAATTCACTCCAAAAAACTTAGTGCTAAGCATGACTTCCGTTGTTTGCCTCCGTAGTTGTTCGCCAGATTTCTACTTGTTTGCCACATTCCGAGAAGCCGTTCGCATCAATCAGTGGTCACGCAGACATGGGAAATTCTTCCATGTACCCTCCTTAACAGTCGGAAGTGTGCTATTCTTGAAAGTGCTTCATCTCGGAAGGACACACTTTGAACCGTCTTTTCTGTACAGCTGAACTAAAACTCCAATTGGTTTGATGATAATATACCGCGTTGTTTTCTGCCAATCATGCGGGAATTGAACTAAATATTGAGGGACCAAATAACAGAAGAGCAGCCAACCATCTCTGTCTGCTGGATGAATTGGATGATACTTATATTTGCCGTTTTAAAAGAGGTTAAAAATATGGTTCAAATGAATGCAAATTACTGGACGCTTCCAGTGCTTGTTTTTAAATGGTTGGTAGTGGTCTTAGCTATTTGTTCCCGTGAGGGCTTTCTGATATATTGCTTTTATGCACTGTACCTCGTTAAATACTCAGACTCGTCAGCGATTGTCTATAATCGTCTATAATTCGTAGTTCCTACTCTCTGTACACGGAAATCTTTAAGAAAACCACAATTTTCAAAGTATCCTAGTACAGTGTTCAAGACTGCATTTTAATACGCTTCAGTTAAGGTTGTCGACCATGAAACGACTATGTACATTAGGTACGACGTTTCCTTAAACAAAGTAGTGTTAATCGTACTTCAGAGACGTTAAATCGCTGCCCAGAAGTATTTCCACGGAACTTGCTTTTGAATTAGTTTTTAATCATATCAAGGACGGAAAATTGAAGAACAAGCTGAGAAGTGGCACACACCATGTGGCCTACGTGAGTATGCTCAGGACAGTTGTTCGTTGAACTTAACTATATTCTAAATAAGACGAAAGAGGACCGAAAAATATAGTTTCCTTAAATTACACTACCTGGTGAAACAAGTATTTCCATAGAACTTTCCAGCCACCGGCTCACAGCTGACGTGGAACCCTGGACAAATTGTGCTCAATCCTAGGTTTCCATCACTCCGAATCAGACACGAAGACCAGGACTTGTCTCGACAGGCAGTAACTCGAAAGGCCTATCAAATTACTCAGCCACCTTAGCCGTACTGGATGTATTGCTCTAGGAAAGTACCCTCTGATTCACCAAAAACCTGCCTGCGAATTCCCCAATTTCTGCCGATCCCAGCTATAGTTCTGAGGTTTTGGTGGTCAAAGGCCATCCTCTGCAAGAAGTGGTCTAGTGTTGCAGCTGTACAGCAATATAGCATTTACTGTAGTCTGATAAACGCATTCTTTGGGACCCATTGAGATGCTTTCTTGACATCCCAGGTGGCGTAAATCGGCAAAAGCAGTTTTGACCTTCGAGGTTTGTCCGTTAACTTTATCTGTGACACTACCGTCAGAGCCAATGCAACTTCTGGGGTGTGTATACTTTTCCACAACCACCACAACCGTGATTTCTCAGAGGCGTGCTTAAAGGCTGTAAGCCCCGCAGCATGATTGCACTGCGTGGGTGCAAATCATATGCTGAATGACGTGGTCTTGGTCCGCTTTTCAGGTAATGTTTGCGCATTTCGCTCTTCGAAAATGAGAACAATGTCCGCTGCTTATTCGAGGTCGACAAAGTTATCGTTCGGAGAGATCTGAACATTGGGTTTCCGATACTTCCCAGTGTTTGCCTCATTATTTTATTAATGAAGAAACCAAACAAAATGGAGAGTGTGGACATCGTTTTTGGACATCAGTGCTTGTAGGTAAGCTTTTGGAGAGCTCCCCATGCACTCGCACACACCCAAAACTATGTGAAAACAGACAGCCCTTGATATTCGCGAACTTCTGGGATAAGTATGTGAAAGGAAAGAACCAGTCGACAGAATCGATAGTACTCCTGAAGTCAACGAACATCAGGATTGTGGGACACCTATGCGCCTATCTTCGCTCTAGCACTTGACAGAGTGTGAAGATGTTATCCACACAGCCCCTTTCCGGATGGAATCCTCCTTGCTGTCCTCGAATCTCGTCTTCGCGCGCCTTCACAAGATGACGTAAAATAAGCCATGCAGAGAGTCTAAGTACGACGGTAGTCAAGCTAATTCCCCTTTGATTGTTGTTTGTGTCAGTAATTGTTTCACTCACTGGATGCCTCCTTAGACCCGTTGCATGTTTCAACTGGAATAGTTTACACACATTCCTAGAGTTCCTCGACTTCTCCATCGCAGGTTTTCGGATCTATCAGGCTTCTCGATCTTCACAGATTCTCTTCACTCAAGTTTGACAGCTCCTCTAGCGGTACTGTATTGCTAACCAGGAGCAATGCATGTCCGGACTTCGACCACTTTTATAGCGTTGCTCGAGTTCCAGCGTCTAGGTGTAGTCGGTCCAACCATTCTACAGGCTGAGCGCCCAACATCTTGCGGAGTTGCGGACATTACCTTCCAGTATCAGAGGATGTCTTGTTTAAACAGGACTTCAGTTGATGGTTCTGATGGACTTGTTTCACATCAGGGTCCGGGAGGTTGCCAATAGCCCGGCGAGGTGTGCGCATCAATCTAGTGGTTACTGGACAAAGTTTACCCGCATTCTGTCAAGATAAGCCAGAGTATGGTGGTAAGGTGATGAAGTCCAATCATTTGGAAGCGTTGCTGAGGGCTGTTTCTATCGAACGAATGTGTAACTGTTCGAGGGACTGACGACACGTCATGATGAGGCAACGGATGCAGTGGGTGTAGTAGGTGCGTATTTGTCAAGAGCCACGCAAACACATCACACTAAGTTTATTTTTTTTCTCCTGAGGACCCCTTTGCCTGATTTTATGTGCCATATGATCCGTTTCTCTACAAACATTTGTGGTGCAAAGCGTACGGGACCTAGGTCACCAAACATTTGAGGTCATAAGCAGTTCTCAGGTGATGTCACCCAAAGAAAGTAAGACTAAAAGCGACGGATCTAATCGAACTTGCAACGGTGCCCATTAGATACCTGGTAGGGTCACCATCCCTCAACTACTGCACGACCCTTAGAGTTAGAGCAAGAAACTTTTCCAAATCTGAATTTTCTGGTAGAAGCCCAGAATCTACATGGAATTACCTGACCCATACTCAGCGGTTTGCGACCAGTTCAATTTCTGCAGGGATGATCTATCTGTAGGGTTCCGGGTGAAGCACTGTCTCGTGTTTTAGCCCCTGTACTTACAAATTGGGTTGACAATAAAGTTAACTAGTAAGGTACTGAGCGGTGGGAATTGGTCTGCTGAACACAGATTGAGTGGCTCCATAACATCTTGGGTGATTTTTCAGGATCGCTTCGGCTAATATAATTAAATGTTCATCAACCTAAGGTTTGTTATGCTTGCATCTACCCCGTTCAGCAATAACCCTCCCCTTGATGTACAGCGTTTCGCTCCCTGTGGGAGGTCTCTGTTCCGCCAAATCTGGTCTGGTTTGTCAACTAAGTACCGAACTCTTCTCCGGACACCAGCTACTGAAGATAACTCACTTGTGGTCTCATCCATATCAACGGTCCGGGTATAGGGCTGTCGAACATGCATCCGAATCGATATCCAGTATTAAGTGATGCCCTGTTGATGTGAATCCACTACAGGGTTGTTTTCGGTCGCCTTAAAACTTACACTCGAACTGTTCATTCGGAGTCCGTCTACCTTCTTCATCCCTCTCACACAGGTACATGAACCTTTCAAACTCACCTGCCCCGTCTAAATACCGTTTAATACGGTCGTGTTTCAGTTCCTTAGTAAGAAATATGTGAAATAGTTACTCTTTTTTCGGAAGCACAGCTATCGTCTCTTCGTTCACCACTCTTTTTGTCACAAGATCTATTTGTTGACTCAATTTTAAATGGTCTGTTTGGGTTGTCATGGTAACTGGCGGAAACTTCCAAACTCTGTCTTAAATCATGTAACCAAACGCTGTCGTTAAGGTCATTTCCTCAAGGGTAATACATGTGGGTTGTTCATGCTTCGACAAGATTAATGCTATTGTTCTCGTCCGAGGCCTCTGTTCAACGTGATTGAAGTCATTGAATTTCATGTGTGACCCGGTCACGTGCACATGTACTGTACTTCTTGTTTTGATTGATTATTGCGGCATTGTTTGTTCCCAAACTAATGTGTAGCACGACCAAGCGTGAAGTTTTTGTGGAATGTCCATATCAGGATTGCGTGTCCCACGAAGAGAAACACGACCTAAGTACCTGCATTTTGAACGGGGGGAATAATTTCCGCGCGTTTTATCAAGACGGCACGCATATGTACGACCGCATAGACTCAGTCAATTCAGTAGGGTTCTGTCGAAGTTGATGTCACTTGGGTCCGCCATATATATGTAACTACCGGTTCCGTTTTTTGTGATATTGTTACGTTAAGCATAAACGATGTTTCTGTCGTTCAGTATAGACCTTATATGCAGAGCAGACAAACTTGGAGACCTGAGTATTTCTTGTGACGAATGAAGGCGTAAGTTCTCCGTACTTTTACCTTCCTTTAGGACAATGCCTACTTCAGTCGGGTGAATCCTTCAAATACCTGGCTGACATCAAGTATACGATGGAGGACCATGTAAAGGACAACTTTTTGCAACCCCTACATAGCATACAGACCCACGAACTGAAGGAAATCAACGTGAGTCTCAGCTTAAGCTATATTTTTGGCCTTTACTCAAGTGGTGTGGACAACGTTATCTTGTTGACAATTGCACATCGCTCCTAATGTCATGAATACCAAAGAGGCTCAACTGAGGTGCTTCTGTCCGATGAAACAGCATCACAACCTCAGCGTTTATTGGCTTTGCTGACTCCAGCGCAACACTGACTTTACATGGGCTACTTATTAATTCGACAGTGTTTAGGGCGAAGGTTGCTTTAGTTTCTATTGATGGAACTTCGGTCGCTCAGTCCGGAGTCGAGCTTGTGCAAACTTGTGCTTCGATATGATGAACCGCTGCCTGGATTAAATTAGATCACTGTTCACTGGTTGTACGTTGATGTTTTCGGTTCGTAGTTAGCAACACAGTTGCAATAATTTTCTGATTTACTAGAGGGGACTCGCAACAACGACAACACATAGTCAGTTTACGTGGCCTACGTCACGCGTTCCCGTCATTAGTACCACTTGGGATATCAGTGTCGCCATGCCAGTGAAATCCTTGAATTCCACGGACCTAACGTTTACTCCTGCACCCATCGTTTTTTTCTTGTGTATGACGGCTTCAGATTGGGAACTTTTGTGTCCTGCTTGTTTTGCATCTGAATGAAACTGTTTGAAACAGTGTTTCCATAAAAAGCACGTGCAACGAACTTAATCTGGCCGCTTTGATCATGTAACTGTTGATTTGTTTTGCTAATGGTTGCCAGTTGCACTTATCGGCACTAATCGATTAACTCAATTCGGTCACGCGGGATCTTCATCTGGTGATCGTTTACGATGTCCCATTTGGAGCTGTCACACCAAACGACCATCTTTGTTTTTTGTTTACGGAACTTTGGTCAATTGGAGGAGGGGAGGTTTTCATATCTTCCTCTGCCAACTTACTATGGCCACCTATTTCTGATATCAATTAGGAGCAACCATGAACTGTTAGATGCGTAATTTCCTGAGGGGTAGCTCTAGTCCTCTTAACACATCATCATCGTAATCGATAGCAATACGCTAGAAGTAAAAAAAATATTAGAATAATATAATTCGCTGTTTGTGTTACGTTTTACCCTGTTGATTACCTCCTGTTTGCATTCATGACATCGCCTAGTGATCGTGACAACGGAACTTATATGAAGGAGTCGTTTTGTAGCTTAGGTTTAATACAACAAACAGTGAAGTGTACCCTGAGGGTATTTTTTCTCGGAGACACCCTAGCAGAGCCGAATCCCGTCGACGGAATCTCGGTTGTGTGTATGATGATTCACTCGAGTGGACAAGATCCTTAGGCGATCACATTTTGATGTATGGCATATTGTTACCCTTCAGTGGCGCGATGAAAATCGTTCAGCCAAGTTTAGAAGATAGCAACTAGCGCTGCTAGCTGCGAAACTACACCGATCAAAAGGTTACGATGTCATCGAAAGGTAATTAGGCCGCAGAGTTTTTCATCTACTATTTTATTATATGGATGTAAAATATAGAGGAAAAGAGAATCTGTACGGAACAAAAAAATCAACACGAATACATGTGTGAAACAACACAAAGCTAAAGGTGAATTGAGATGACCTTTGAATTACTCGACATTATATGAATTAGGGAAGACAGGAAGTGACAGTTTCCGGAGGTTAATAACTTGATCGGGTTAGCTATATGAACAGAGACGTGTTACCCAATAGAAATGGCTGGAGGAAACAAGTTCTGATGGGTATTTCCCGTAGTAGTAACTATAGAATAAAACAGTGATGGATAAGTAAGGTCACTAGTGCCAAACATACAAGCATTGATCTGGTGCGGGCTGAATTTCGGATCTTCAAATGAGAATTTGGGCAGGGGTGAAGTGTTTTCGTGCTCGAAAAAGAGCGAACCTTTGAGCACTTAAGATGATGTGGCTTTATCTGGGAGACCGAGTGTAGTTAGTGGTACTGTACGGTAGTGCGGCTGTCATGGGAGTGAAGCTGTGCTTTGATTCAGTACATTCACTGATTCGGCACCGTCTGTAACAGGAAGTCAAGTGTAGGAACTCATGGTGAAATGTCGATGCTCCAGTCACATTGACACTATAGGCACTGCATCCGGAATCCATAAAGTACTTGATCGGTCAACCGGAGCACCACAGTTTGATTCGTCAGAGAAGGTGATTGTGAGCTGAATCAGCTTGCGCATGTCCTGCATACTCACATAACGCCCTCTTTGGTTATGTCAGTTTCATTTACTTCAAGATTGCACCATTTGACGATAATCTGTTTTCTGTTGGCTTTGTTCAGCACCATCGGAAGAAATTAGAGGGTCGACGCCTGGACTTTGATTGCAAGAAGCGAAAACAAGACAAGGGTGAGTATGCTCTCTTTTAGGTGAATCTCTTCGAAACTGTACCAGAGCCACCATAGAATCCTTTTCTATAGTTGTAACACACCATATCCTTTCTGGACCATACTATTGTTGGTATCGCACGTTTAGAAATGCTTGATCAGCTGACTTCCTCACGTACGGCAGTGGAGCATCGGTGTTGAACACTGATGTCATGCCGGCGATGATAATGATGATGATGACTTCCTCACACCAATGTTTCTGTGGTAATTTCCATGGAGAATATTTGAGAGACACACTTCAAGCATGTTAATGGTGATCCGTTCAAACAGCTTTACTTGCTTTCAAATATCAGTAAATATATGCACGGTGTACAGTTTCGGGTATTAGCTACTTGCTGGTTTGTCATGTTTTTCTCCGAGTAAAGATGCTTAATCCACCATTCATCAAAGCGAATTATGTTTTTGTTGTTGTCACCCAATAAGTGGGGTTTTTAAAACAGGATAGATCCGAAAACGCACTCGATACACTGTTCTATACTATGCATGAGAATTCTCACTTGAAAAAATATTGAGAATCAATGTGACTGTATCAGCATGAGGTTGATGAACAACTAATTCTTATGTTGTGCTCGTAATAATAGTACTAACACCAGTAATCGGAAGTGGTAATAGCAAAAATAACAACAGTCGTGAATGACAACACAGGTTTTCACGTGAGACTCAATTGAATCCCCCGTTTATGATATTCTTCACCTGAATGTGCTGCGTACAGGCCGCCGCATGTTTCAGTTGGCACGATATTCGAGATATCGCAGTGTATTTTCATAAAGGGAACTACTCACGTTAGTTTTCTGCAAAAACAGGACACGTCAGGATTTTAACCCTAGCCTACGAAATGTCCGACTCTGTAACCTGTCTTTTCCTGCCTATATGTAATTCCCTTAAGCCTGTGTTTACTTCTTCAGAAACCAAACGATTTCGGTGCCAACAACTCTTCTGATGACACATTGGGATCCTCTGTCAACATTCTAAAGGGGGTGTGTTAAAAAAACAAGGTGCCCACTTTGTACCGATGCAATACACTATCCATAAGGTCAATAGCGATTAGCAAACTACACTCATTTGCAAACAAATTTGGTTTTGCGAGAGACTCACCTGGAACGCAGCTGAATCTCTCACTGAGTCTCCTGCAAGACCAAATTTGTTTGCAAACAAGTGTATTTCGCTAATTTCTTGCAATTTGGTTTCAAGTAGCATGTAAGGTTGACGGGAACTCGGGGACTGCGTCTACATGATGAGCCCCAAGAAGGTCGAAACCGATCGTGGGCTATCGGAGAATATTCAGCAACCTGCTAGTTATCACATTTCAAGGAAAAGTGCTTTGTTATGTTGATTAATCGCCAAGCTAACCATTCTATTCTAAAAAAATAACAATCACATCCATCTGAGTCTCAATGCCATTTCAGTGTCAAGTGGGCTTCTGACACCCTACACTTGCGTGTTTTTTACACCCATCTTGTTTTCCGTTTGTTTGTTTAGCTGCGGCCACTGCAAAGCTTCCGGAAGACGAGTTGAAGATTGCGGAAGAGAAATTCGTGGAGTCCAAGATTCTTGCCGAACAGGCCATGATCAATTTCCTGAACTCCGAGGTATGTCTAAGTTATTTTGTAGTCGTCTTTGATCGTCCGTGCTAATTATTATTATTATTATATTAATTATTTCCGGTGCAGCAAAAGGAAAATCTGAAAACGCTTCGTAATCCACTGTTTCGCTTCAGACTGCATACTGATGATGTCACCGGTGGATGATGGAATCTGGTGTGCAACCTGATTGCCCAACTCAACGAACTAACCAACAACCAACTACACAGCCTGATCTAGCAACGTTCTCAATTGGGAGTGAGATGGCTCAGTGGTTAGAGCGCGAGTTTACTAACCGGAAGGTCCGTTGTTCGAACCCGATCTCTGCTTCTCGACTTCCCCTGTCTAGGCTTGGGTAACCTGGCACTATCTCAACCCTCGTGCATCCTTCTGGGGGCATGGCAGTTAGGCACCGAAAAGATGCTACAGCTGAACCATTTTCAATATTAATGATCAGTACTTATATGGGTCTTTCATCGCGTCGCCGACTGACTGTCCACTTGGATAGCAACATAATTAAACGACTGGCCGTCTACCGCATATTTGATTTTTGGTGGCGTCGCTTAAAATATGTACGGAGAAGCTTTTAAGAGATACTTTTTAAAGAGAGGAAAGTCGAAACTCATGACTGCGGTGATTCTGTTCTTTTGGCAGGCGATAGCTGCCCATGGGCTGAACCACTGCGAGAGATTCCGGAGGCGGATGCATCCTGTTTCGAGAGAGGGTCACTTGGAGTTAAAGGGAAGGGAACTAAGAAGCTCTTAGAAAGTTCAAAACGGCATTCCATATCAGCCACAACTTAGCATGTACTTGTTCCGAAGAGAGGGCAAGATACTTGTTTGTGGTGGCCTCTCTATGAACGAGAAATTCTGTATTCAGTGAAGTTGACTGTTCAGGATAAATACATTGGCCCCAGGAGCAAACAGAGTCGACAAACTGTTCGCGAGATGGCTCAAATGGTTAAAGCGCGAGTTTGCTGACCGGAAGGTCCGTGGTTCGAACCCGACCTCTCTCTCCCGACTGCCCCCGTTTAGGCTTGGGCAACCTGGCAGTATCCAAGCCCTCGTGCTTCCTTCGAGTAGCATGGCAGCTAGGCAGCGGAAGGGTGTTACAGCTGAACGGCCTCCCACAAATGTTCGCTTTGACGGGCTGTTCACACCTATGGTAAGGGTGCAATGTAACATCGCCGTCTGAATAACAGGACCATTTCTATTTACCTTTCGGACTTCCCAAAAGTTTCGTTTCCTTCTCGCTCCCTCTAGAATTATATCCCCGTTACACTGTGGCGCAAACATACCAAAAGTGTATTATCCTCTTTGGAGAATACCCTCCCCCACCGACTGGCTGGTGTAAACCAGACCTACGTGATGTGCATGTACTTCCGTGTTTTCTGGTTGAATTCCCTTAGGGTCTAAATAAATGGTAGACTGGAATAACGTCCAATCATCCGGATAACGTCTTCCGTAGAAACAGTTGTTTTTCTTAGCAACAACTTATGGGGCGTAGGATGTTTTTTGCTGCTGGAGATTTAAAACGTTACATTTACTCTATGCGTTTCGGCTGACTGGCGATGCGCTGTCAGTTAGTGGACGTTAACAGACTATTTTTTGAGGGTTCAAACAAATTGCGCTATCAAATCAACTTTTAGCTTTGCTGCCGAGTGATTATAACTTAGACTAGGGGGCTCAACAGTACTCCCAACGCGAGTCGTGCTTTTCTGGCCTTTCTGGCTTTACAGCTACTGGCCTCTGAGAAGCTATCTCACTGAGATACCAAACGATAGGATCACGCGGGTTAATTCGGGTCCTGAATGTTTTTCAAGCGTTACTATCCAGTTGGTGGGTAACCATGTGGCAAATGGATGCACTGAGAGTAATTGACTGTGCAGTTCGCAGTTGGAAGAATGGCCATAGGAAAATGTCTTAGGCTATAACTGAGGATATGGTCTTCCTAATGGTCAGTATTAACCGCTTTTCATCCATTTTGAGGTCTTATGCATTAACACGTTTTTTCAGGTTGTCTCCATCCAATTGCTCGTTCCGGGCAAGTGTGCCTATGTGAAAAGTTCGCTTCTAGAGTCCTGCTATAGGAATTCATCAGTTTGGAGCTGTGGGCAGGTTAGCTCTGTGGAGATGCTTGTTTTTCGGAAGGAGTTCGCGTGTAGTGAACAACGCTGACCAATAGCAAACAGTTCTTGTGGTAGCAAAGTTGTCACTCAGGATAGTCAGCTTGGGTGGACCTTTTTATGCGTAACGCACATTCTGACGTGGCATATCAATGGCAATGATTAGCTACGTTGCCGTAATAACCCTCCTAAGGCTTCCTAGTATTATGTCCCAATTGAGAGTTGTTTCCTCTGTTTCGATCCGCAATGCAGTCACAGAATAGAGTGATTTATCGTAACACAAAACGAAGGGCGACCCGTAAGTTCCTCACCTTCTGATCACAATTGGGTTGAAAAAAGCTGTCAAACGCGAAAAGGATGGCACATTTTCAGGCAGAACAAATCAATAAAATGCAACGAATGGCGGATGCAATAGGAAAATCTGTATTTGGCACGCTATTCATATCGTTTGCGAATAGCGTATACGACATTAACAGCCCGTTTTTCGAAACTAGTCCAAAATTCTCAGCACTGGTGGACCCATTTTTACGTCGGAAATTTATCACAGAAAGATCTGCAAATTTTAACATCCTCTAGATGGCTTGTACTACGTGTCTTAATTTTTTATAACACACTCGTTCACAGTCTTATTCTGTTGTGGGCAACGTAAATGGCGAGATATTCTTCGGAGACTTGCCACAGTGAATAAGCACGCGAAACTCTTAGCAACTTGCTGCTAGCACCCAGCAGATCAATATCACATGGCATTTTTTCTGATCCTTCACTAGAAGGGGAACAGAAATTCAGTCTTACAGGTCAACAGAGTCAGCCGTTATATCTTATTGAATGTTTCTTCTTGCCTGTACTTCCTACCTTCCACATTCACGGTTCCTTGATGTGCACTTGTCATGGGCGGGTTTTTTTTAACATCTGTCGGTATGGTTATTACTGACATGGGTGATTCTTCTGATGTTGAACTAATCAACTGTAGGCAGTGCTGTCCAGTGATGTGTTATGAACATACATAGTGATAGCGTGTAATTTTTCAGACCCAAAGTAAGTCATTGATCCACTGAAATGTGTTGAATTCTACAAGCAGAATGCGAGGTGACATGGTCAACTCACAGTAAAGTACTTCTCCCTTTGATTGACATCGAGTGATTTTCAACTACTTCCTCGTGGAATGTTGACTGTGTGGCACAGCTCCTGAACGCTAATGAATTTTCGCCTGTTTTCATGTTTTTTTTTCCAAATCTGCCGTGCATATACTCAATACGTTTTCGCATCCGCAATCCACCCATACTATACTAAATGATGAACCTGTATAGTGCTCGTGAGTGGTCGAGATGGCTCAAGTGGTTAGAGTGCGAATGGAATGAATGTCCGTGGTTCGAACCCGACCTCTGCCACTTGACTTCCCCTGTTTGGGCTTGGACGACTTGACGGTATCCCAGCCCACATGCCTCCTTGGTATGGCAGCTAGGCACCAAAAGGGTGCAACAGCTGAACGATTATTATTATTTATTTATCATAGTGTTCGTGAACCTTGTCATATAAATCATTTTCATCATCTTCATTTATCAAGACGTAAATATTAATTACTAATTCACCAGAAAGACCCATCCCCTTATAACAAAGAAACCAGCGATGATGGTTGGAAACTCGGGAACTACTATTGCCTGTTGGTTCATCCTGTCCATCGGCTGTATTACCTCGAATCGATATTTCATCTGTCCCGTCGGATGGTCGTCCTTAGGTATCGCAGGCTACCAAATGAAATGAGGTTCAGTCACTAATGCAGCGAGTTTGTTTGTCTTGTATGTGTTCACAACATTACTTCTGACGTGATAGGCGACCAGTGCGCCTGGGTTATTGGCATGGAACATTTTCGTTGTAGTGGGATGTAAACCAGTCACTCGGGGAGTCCACAAAGTATCCCGTTCAGTTCTGGGGGCTGTTTCGAAGTTACAATGGTTAATACTCGTCTAGAGAGTGGGATCCTGCTATAATATGAGAATGAAGAAACATCTACTGCTCCTTACGAATGTGACAGTATAATTTGGAAATCTCGGTGTGAGAGTTTGTAAGGCTGAAAAGACATCCTATTGCTTACTATCGTAAAACGTATTTTCCAGTGTATCAAGTGCGGGACCCAACAATGTGGTTGAGTTGGGTGTGGAATGTGTGTAAACGTTGTAAACTTTTATTTGGTTGGCCTAAGGTCAGAATACGGCGGGGTTAACATACTACCTTAGGATACTGTGTTTGATACCGTCTGCTCGTTGTACCCCGCAATCGTAAATGCAATCCAACTCGATGCATCATTGGACCCCCGGGGCAAAGCTGTGGGACCTGGAGGCCTGGTGTGTCCAGGGGGCGGAATAAGTGAAAGCATCCGTATGACTGGTCCTTAAGATCCTCTTGTTAATGTGACGATCAAGGACCACAATGGCCTGTTGGTATACAGCATAGAACGTCTTTACCAATGGACGGAATACTTAAAGCTGTAATTCGGTGTGCCACCTGCTGATTTCCATCCAGACGTCCGGCCTGTGGCAGAAAGTTGAACTGTTCCTGATCAACATCGACTTCCTCAGTCGTTTCCTATCTAACTTACTTATTCTATCTGAGACGTCTCAGGTAATTAGGTTGTGTCGATAACTTTGCTCATTCCAAGAAACGATACTCACAGTTCACGTGTTAACCAAAGGGCTGTTAGCCTGAATTGCCTTGTAGCAAGACTGATTTTTCAACCTAAAGCGGCACGCGAATCCTTGATTCGTGGTCACTAAAATGTATTCCGACGGGTGGAGGGTGCATCCAACAAATCTTCGCATTTCTTAATGTTTGGAATAGCTCCATATGTACGAGTGTTTTAGAATTCTAATGTTCTTCGACTTCAAGGGTGCCTTCGATCCTGTCGATCACTCGCTTGTCTAACAGGGGATTCCCCAGAACTTTTTGAGAATAATCTGGCCCTCATATCCACATACTTCCTTGCGCATGTGTGTTCGGATTGTTCTCAAAAGGCTGCTCTTGTAAGTGATGTCCTGCAAGAATGTCCCATTCTTTTCACTAAGTTCAACTTTGTCAAAAATGAAATGTAGAGGCTAACGCTGCAGGGTCTTATAAATCTCGCTGTCCGAACCGTTGTCGGTGAGATACTCGTCACTTTAGACCATACATACATCATACCGATATTTAAGGAATGTAAAAACTTACCGCGACTTTTCATTCAAGGCTTTTTGATTTTGTTCTATCTTGTGTATCCCGTTCTGCTCATAGGTCATTGTTTC